CATGTAAAACCCTATTAAGTTGCATTATACTGGTTTACATGGAAAAAACCCTATTAAGTTGCATTATACTGGTTTACATGTAAAAACCCCTATTAAGTTGCATTATACTGGTTTACATGGAAAAATCCCCATTAAGTTGCATTATACTGGTTTACATGAAAAAAAACCCTATTAAGTTGCATTATACTGGTTTACATGAAAAAACCCTATTAAGTTGCATTATACTGGTTTACATGGAAAAATCCCTATTAAGTTGCATTATACTGGTTTACATGGAAAAATCCCTATTAGGTTGCATGATTACACTGAAGTCCTTGAAACTGCTGAAGTCCTTGAAACTGCTGAAGTCCTTGAAACTGCTGAAGTCCTTGAAACTGTTGAAGTCCTTGAAACTCTTGAAATCTTGAAACTGCCCTGAAATCCTTGAAACTGTTGAATCCTTGAAACTGTTGAATCATTGAAACTGTAGAAATGTCTGAAAGAGCTGAAGTCCTATTAAAATGCATGGGCCTATTAAAATGCATTGCAGAATTCTCAATGCAGATTTTTGTCCGATTGCGGAAAAACCGGAAATCGCTGAAGTCCCAAAAGTAATAGCAATAATCTCCCAAACATGTGGAACGTTTTGATGTATAACTTGTGGAAATTGTTGAAAATGTGAAAGCTGTGAAACGTGTCAAAAAAAATGACGGAATAAAGAAATACAAAACCAATGGTTGACTGCGGAAGGTTCCGCAGTCAATCAATTATGACCGCTGCTTCTGACAGGTTTCTACAGCGGGACCGAGGGATCATGGCTCCAATGTAGAAGGACAACAAAAGCCCCTTGTACATACTGTATCTAGGACTCCCTGAGCAGTCAGTTTGACGGCTTTCAGTATTGTAGTGTAATTATTCTGTGTTTGTACATTTCTGCTTTTCATAACTTGTTTCTGTAAGTGCAGTCTTTTTAGTCTATCTAGTTAAAGGTCGAACTTTAATAAATAAAATATAGTTTTATAATCACAAGGACATAGAAATAAACTTTATACACAGAAAGGTCACATATGAAGAGTCCTGGCAGCTAACACTAAGAACCTCCTTATTGATTGACTGCGGAACCTTCCGCAGTCAACCATTGGTTTTGTATTTCTTTATTCCGTCATTTTTTTTGACACGTTTCACAGCTTTCACATTTTCAACAATTTCCACAAGTTATACATCAAAACGTTCCACATGTTTGGGAGATTATTGCTATTACTTTTGGGACTTCAGCGATTTCCGGTTTTTCCGCAATCGGACAAAAATCTGCATTGAGAATTCTGCAATGCATTTTAATAGGCCCATGCATTTTAATAGGACTTCAGCTCTTTCAGACATTTCTACAGTTTCAATGATTCAACAGTTTCAAGGATTCAACAGTTTCAAGGATTTCAGCAGTTTCAAGATTTCAAGAGTTTCAAGGACTTCAACAGTTTCAAGGACTTCAGCAGTTTCAAGGACTTCAGCAGTTTCAAGGACTTCAGCAGTTTCAAGGACTTCAGTGTAATCATGCAACCTAATAGGGATTTTTCCATGTAAACCAGTATAATGCAACTTAATAGGGATTTTTCCATGTAAACCAGTATAATGCAACTTAATAGGGTTTTTTCATGTAAACCAGTATAATGCAACTTAATAGGGTTTTTTTCATGTAAACCAGTATAATGCAACTTAATGGGGATTTTTCCATGTAAACCAGTATAATAATGCAACTTAATAGGGGTTTTTACATGTAAACCAGTATAATGCAACTTAATAGGGTTTTTTCCATGTAAACCAGTATAATGCAACTTAATAGGGTTTTTTCCATGTAAACCAGTATAATGCAACTTAATAGGGTTTTTTCCATGTAAACCAGTACAATGCAACTTAATAGGGATTTTTCCATGTAAACCAGTATAATGCAACTTAATAGGGTTTTTTACATGTAAACCAGTATAATGCAACTTAATGGGGATTTTTCCATGTAAACCAGTATTATGCAACTTAATAGGGATTTTTCCATGTAAACCAGTATAATGCAACTTAATAGGGATTTTTCCTTGTAAACCAGTATAATGCAACTTAATAGGGTTTTTTTCATGTAAACCAGTATAATGCAACTTAATGGGGATTTTTCCATGTAAACCAGTATTATGCAACTTAATAGGGATTTTTCCATGTAAACCAGTATAATGCAACTTAATAGGGTTTTTACATGTAAACCAGTATAATGGAACTTAATAGGGGTTTTTACATGTAAACCAGTATAATGGAACTTAATAGGGGTTTTTACATGTAAACCAGTATAATGCAACTTAATAAGGATTTTTACATGTAAACCACTATAATGTAACCTAATAGGGGTTTTTACATGTAAACCAGTATAAAGCAACTTAATAGGGATTTGTACATGTAAACCAGTATAATGCAACCTAATAGGGATTTTTCCATGTAAACCAGTATAATGCAACTTAATAGAGATTTTTCCATGTAAACCAGTATAATGCAACTTAATAGGGATTTTTCCATGTAAACCAGTATAATGCAACCTAATAGGGATTTTTCCATGTAAACCAGTATAATGCAACCTAATAGGGATTTTTCCATGTAAACCAGTATAATGCAACCTAATAGGTTGCATTATACCACCAGACCAAGACCCAAACGAAGACTCAGACCACCACCAGATAATGACCACAGACCAGGTTTCCTTAGTTACAGGAACCAAATTGTTTCAGCGGTGAGGGGATTTTTCAGTTTCAAGGACACTTTCAATACATTCAGTAGTTTCAAGGATTTCAACTGTTTAAGAATTTAACCAGTTTCAAGGATATCAGGAGGTTCAAGGATTTCAGGAGTTTCCACACTTTCAACAGTTTCCAGGTTTAAAAAAAGTTTCAAGGATTTCAGGAGTTTCAATGTTTCAACAGTTTCAAGGATTTCAGGAGTTTAAAGGTTTCAACAATTTCAAGGACTTCAGGAGTTTCAAATATCTATCAAGTATTTTAACAGTTTCAAGGCCTTTTAAAGGATTTCAAGGATTTTTTTTAGCAGATTTCCACATTAGATCTGTTCCGCAGTCAATCGCAATGGCTTCAGCCATTGCAAGTTTCTAGTATGTTTTTGGTCTTCAACTGTTTCTCCATCTATTTTATTTCTATGTCATTATGTTTATGAAATTATCTCTGCTAGTTACCATAGCAACACATTGTTTACGTGCAGCAATCATCATTTTGTTTTGCTATATTTTATTTATATTAATCAGTTTCAGCTTGCATTAAAGATAAAAACAGAATTCTAATCGTAGTGAAAACCTAAAATGGAACCCGTCCAAATGACTGCTGTAGGAGTTCTGTAGTTTCGTTACACTTGCCTCTCACGCTGAGCCTCTGTTGTGTGTAACACCCTGTAGTATCCATCACACACTGAACAAAAGCACCTCGCAGTGTTTCCAGAGGAGCAGGTGCACGGACTGAAACTCCCCTTATGCCCCTAGGTCCGCGTTTATCTCCCACTGCGCATGCGCCCTGCTGCACGCTGGGGACTCACCAAACAGAGCGGCTATTGTTAGCAGAGCTCCGCCAGGTTGTGCCACTCTAGAGTTTATCCCGGAGATCCGAGGCCTACGCGTTGAATATTCACCCACACAAGTTGCAGACGAGTCACTTTCGAAGAACAAAGTCTAAAAAGCTTCAGTCCAGCCGTGGCGAAGGAGCGTCAGGCGTGCGTAAAGACAGAGAACTAGTTTTTCACCCGCGCGTAATAAGGAAGTAATCAACAGGTATAACGCGTACTCAATGTTATAGCCATAGCGCACGGACTTGTTCAGCTTAATCCAGACTCATTTGTGGGGGAAAAATGCCCCTGGGACCATGGAGGAAGAAGAAATCCACGAAGGAGCACTTGGTGGAGAACGAGGAGGTGACCAGCGGAGGCGGCGGTAGTGGAGCGGGCGCAGCAGGTGCAGGGAGCCCGGGCAAGGCTGCGGTGAACGGGGCAGGACTCCCACCGCCTCCCGCTAACCTGAGGCCCAAGTTGGTCTTCCACACGCAGCTGGCCCACGGGAGCCCCACGGGAAGGATAGAGGGGTTCACCAATGTTAAAGAACTTTACGGGAAGATTGCAGAGGCTTTCAACATCAGTCCTCCAGAGGTAAGTGTAATAACGTGTGTTTGTGTGTGTTTGTGTGTGTTTGTGTGTGCTTGTGTGTGTGTGGGAGATTGGAGAAGCCAGGACTAGTCTTAATCACCTCCTAAGCCCCTCTGCTTACTTAAGTTGCTTGGAATTAAAGCTGGGGTACCTGACTTTTGTTGTTTCATGAATAACACATGTTTTTGTCCCAACGGAGAGAGGTCTGTGACATGTTGTGTCAGACCTCAACAGCCGTCTCCATCTCATCACAAAACATGTTACTGCTTCTATGCCGTGAACGTCACTCTTTGACGCTATGGGCTGTGTTCTGATTGGCTGAGAGGGGGGGTCCTCTCTTTCTCTCACTTTTCTGTCTGAAAAAGCTGGTGTAAAAACGTGAGTCCAAAAATACATGCATGTGAATGATATAGAGACAGAGACAGGAGCAAGTCACGTGGATTATTATGATTAAATTCTTTGCCGTTAGAAATTTAGGGACCCCAGCTTTAACTCTAAATGTAGTGGTATCGGCAACACAGTGGCTGAGTAGTTAGCACTCTCGCTTTTCAGCCATAAGGTCCTGGGTTTGAATCATCGTCGGAACAGCGTCTTTCTGAGTGGCGTTTGCTTGTTCTCCCCATGTCCGCGTAAGTTTCCTCCAGGTGCTCCGGTTTCCCCTACCACTATAAACATGCACAATAGATTTGAATGGATGGTGTTGGAAGTAGTTGGGCAACAATAATCAATCAGATGTGTATTTATTGTTGATATAGTTGATCCTAGGGCTGGTCAGGGGCCGAAAGATGAAGTGGGTTTCATTTATAATTTATTTTAAGAATATGAAGTTATTTATATAAATGACTTGTTTTACATTAGTTGGATTGGACATTCTTTTCTGATTAGAATTAGTTCAGTTCCTGTGGACTGAACCAAAACTGGACCAAAACTGGACCAAATATTAAAGGTAAACGGGAAGATTTTCTACTTTTGGGAGGATCATCAAGACGATTGGTCCTCCCAACTGTCAATCATTCTTGTGATTTGTGCTCGTCCAATAAGACCAGAGAGTTTGGTTCAAAAAGTGGAGACGGCGGTTCTTTCCTAAGAACATTGGGAAATCCTTTGTTTCTTATGGAATTAAATATTATGGTTGTTTTCTCAGTAATGGAGAACATCAATGCTGCTATTTAATATAATCATTTAAAATCATCCCAAGGGCCACTGGAAATGGTCTCGTGGGCCGGATCTGGTCCAGAAGTTTTCAGTTCACGACCAATTATCACGACAAGGAATGTTTTTTTGTATAGCACAGTTCAAGACAAGATGGACACAATCACACAAGGAATTACAATCATAGTTTGTCTCAGTATTTTAGAAAGAACGAAGACGTCGCGAAACTAAACTGTTTTTAACCTGGATTTGAACATTGTCAGAGAAGAAGTCTGTCTCACTATTTCAGGAAGACTGCTCCAGAAGTTAGTTGCATGAATCTCAAATGCGGTTGACCCATGTTTAGTCTTGACTCTCGGACCAGCAGGAGACCAGTCCCTGTGCTCCTCAGAGTCCCAGCAGGAGGCCAGTCCCTGTGCTCCTCAGAGTCCCAGCAGGAGGCCAGTCCCTGTGCTCCTCAGAGTCCCAGCAGGAGGCCAGTCCCTGTGCTCCTCAGAGTCCCAGCAGGAGGCCAGTCCCTGTGCTCCTCAGACTCCCAGCAGGAGGCCAGTCCCTGTGCTCCTCAGAGTCCCAGCAGGAGACCAGTCCCTGTGCTCCTCAGAGTCCCAGCAGGAGGAAGCCTAACTCTTAAACCTAAAAACAGATATTATTATAAAAACCCAACATGAAAACCTGTTAAAAGTTCATGTTTGTATTTTATGTTAGAGCAAAAAGACTAAAGGTAAAAAACCCTTGAATAAATATTGATATCTATAAGAACTGTAAATATTCTAAATTATGACAATTCAATCCAATATAATCAATGTAATGTTTAAATTCCCACTAAATTCAAGAAATAAGGAATAATAATACAGAAGCAAATACATTAAATTATAAGATTAATGTCATATTTTTGGGAGTATTTGAATCGAAACTGAACGAACCTTTACTTGAACCAGGAACATTCTTTTGAACTCTAGTTTTCTGGATCTCTGACATAAAAGTGATGACCCGAGTGTGTGTTATGAGTTGTAAATGTTTAGTAGTGGTTTTCTCTGGTGTGTGTGTGCGTGTGTGTGCGTGTGCGTGTGTGTGCGTGTGCGTGTGTGTGCGTGTCTGTGTGTGTGCTGAGACACGCCCACTTCACCTCAAACTGACAATAATCTCTGTAGAAATGTCCACAGGCGCTGGCCCTTTAAGAGGCGCGTCTCATTTGACTTGGAAAATAACATCCACAGCCGCATTGTTTTGTAAATTTTCTACTCTACTCTGCCTGGGTTGTGTGTAGAGTAGAGTAGAGTAGAGTAGAGTAGAGTAGAGTAGAGTAGAGTAGAGTAGAGTAGAGTAGAGTAGAGTAGAGTAGAGTAGAGTAGAGGGTAATGTAGAGTAGGGAAGAGTAGAGTAGTGTAGAGTAGAGGGTAATGTTGAGTAATGTAGAGTAGGGTAGGGTAATGTAGAGTAGGGAAGAGTAGAGTAGGGAAGAGTAGGGAAGAGTAGGGAAGAGTAGGGAAGAGTAGGGAAGAGTAGGGAAGAGTAGAGTAGAGAAGAGTAGAGTAGGGTAGGGTAATGTAGAGTAGGGTAGAGTAGGGAAGAGTAGAGTAGGGAAGAGTAGGGAAGAGTAGAGTAGAGAAGAGTAGAGTAGAGTAGGGTAGAGTAGAGTAGGGTAGAGTAGAGTAGGGTAGAGTAGAGTAGAGAAGAGTAGAGTAGAGTAGAGAAGAGTAGAGTAGAGTAGGGTAGAGTAGAGTAGAGTAGAGTAGGGAAGAGTAGGGAAGAGTAGGGAAGAGTAGGGAAGAGTAGAGTAGAGAAGAGTAGAGTAGGGTAGGGTAATGTAGAGTAGGGTAGAGTAGGGAAGAGTAGAGTAGGGTAGAGTAGGGAAGAGTAGAGTAGAGAAGAGTAGAGTAGAGTAGGGTAGAGTAGAGTAGGGTAGAGTAGAGTAGGGTAGAGTAGAGTAGAGTAGAGTAGGGAAGAGTAGAGTAGAGTAGAGAAGAGTAGAGTAGAGTAGGGTAGAGTAGGGTAGGGTAGAGTAGAGTAGGGTAGAGTAGAGTAGGGAAGAGTAGGGAAGAGTAGGGAAGAGTAGGGAAGAGTAGGGAAGAGTAGAGTAGAGTAGAGTAGAGTAGAGTAGAGTAGGGTAGAGTAGAGTATACTGAGCTAGAGGATTTCAACGTTTACATGTAAATCAATAGGAGCTAGAGAGAGTTGGAGCAAAACTTTGTCCTTGAGCGCTTCCCTGTTGTCTGCCTGTTTACAGTGTGTGTCCTGCTGCTTTTATCAGCTCCACTTTATATGAACTTTCTCCAACCTTTTAAACCGCCACAGAGTGGATTTATTTAATGAAGACCAGAGAGAGACCAGAGAGAGACCAGAGAGAGACCAGAGAGAGACCAGAGAGAGACCAGAGAGAGACCAGAGAGAGACCAGAGAGAGACCAGAGAGAGACCAGAGAGGGACCAGAGAGGCCCCAGAGAGGGACCAGAGAGAGACCAGAGAGAGACCAGAGAGAGACCAGAGAGAGAGACCAGAGAGAGAGAGACCAGAGAGAGACCAGAGAGGGACCAGAGAGAGACCAGAGAGAGACCAGAGAGGGACCAGAGAGGGACCAGAGAGGGACCAGAGAGGGACCAGAGAGAGAGACCAGAGAGGGACCAGAGAGGGACCAGAGAGGGACCAGAGAGGGACCAGAGAGAGAGACCAGAGAGGGACCAGAGAGGGACCAGAGAGGGACCAGAGAGGGACCAGAGAGGGACCAGAGAGAGACCAGAGAGAGACCAGAGAGAGACCAGAGAGAGACCAGAGAGAGACCAGAGAGAGACCAGAGAGAGACCAGAGAGAGACCAGAGAGGGACCAGAGAGGGACCAGAGAGGGACCAGAGAGAGGGACCAGAGAGAGGGACCAGAGAGAGAGACCAGAGAGAGAGACCAGAGAGAGAGACCAGAGAGAGAGACCAGAGTCCTGTAAGCTACAGAACGAGGATGCAGGACTGAGGCAGCTCCCAGGGGGAGAGGACAGTCCACAGGTGCAGATGCAGGAGCCCGGGTTCAGGGGTCCCATCATCACACCATGAAACAGACAATGGGTGAATAGAAAAGTCGAGAATACAAAAGAATAGTTAAATGAAATACAGTTGAAGTTGCGGACATCACCTTTAACCTTGACGGCACAATCTCTCTCTCTCTCTCTGACAGATGACAAATATCTTTAAAATCTCCCCACGGATTCACTGAGAAGAATTGTTTGTTTGTAAAGGTTTAAAGAGGAAAGAATAACATCAGGCCGTTGTTCAGAAGCTGCTGCTGTTTCTCGGTCCACCAGAGAGTGATGTCACATGTTTGATACAATTATACATGTTTGAACATCCAGGCGTCAGCAGGAGCAGTAGTAGTAGCAGTAGCAGTAGTAGTAGCAGTAGTAGTAGCAGTAGTAGTAGCAGCAGTAGCAGTAGTAGTCTGAAGCTAAGCAGGGCAGGGCCTGATTAGTGCTGTGATGGGAACAGCAGGTGCCACAGTGGGGCAGCTGCGGCTGTAAAGTGCCAAACCGTGGTTGTGTCCTTAGGCAAGACACTTCCCCCACATTAGAATGGTGTGTGTGTGATTGGTTGGTGGTGGTGGGAGGGGCTGATGGCACAGACTGGTTGCCTCGCTTCCGTTAGTGTGCCCCAGGGCAGCTGTGGCTACAGTAGTAGTTTATCACTGCTGTGTTTGGAGAGAAAGAATAATGAAGTGAAGAGACTTTGACCTCCTACAGAAAAGCGCTGTATTAAACCAATGCGTCACTTCTTAAAATCATAATAATGTAAAGTTGTTTTCATTTTCAGTATCTGCAGAATTTAGTCTGAACGAGTTGCTCCTTCACTTGGTCTTTACAACCTTCATAT